ACAAGAATTTATAATTATTCGAAGTCTAGTTTTTGATAATTTTAGTTACTTCTTTAATGTTCCTAAATATCAGACATTGATTATTTTAGTAACTTAAATGTAACCACATTTATGAAATTCTAATGATTATTTCAATAGCAATCCATCCTATCAAATATGAAACTGTCCATGTAGATATCAAATATGAAACTGTCCATATAGATATCAAATATGGACATCTATCCGTATAGATATCAAATATGGATATATATCCATATAAATCAAATATGGATATCTACCCATCGTATCAACAAAACTGTGATTTACTGATGTCAAAAGAACTTTTCTTTATGATTCATAGAGTTTTACTTCCACATCAATTCAATTTGATGGTTGTGTGTAAATTAACTGTCAATTATCTCAAACAAACTGGTTTAAAGTTTTAAATTCTAACATAATACTAGAAAGTGTTATGGATAAAGAAATAAAAAATTAGATAGAAGGAGAAAGAATTTGAGGAATAGATAAATAAAGAAAAATAAATGTTTTTTTATAAATTTGGATTAACAATTCTATTCCTAAAACACAAGTCACATAATGCTCTTCGTTAAACTTGTTCATAACGAATATAAGGTAAAAAAAAATAGCCAGACATAACCTAAATTATACACTAATTTGAATCTTTAAGAACCATTTCAACATCTCTAATGTTTAAAACAAATAATCACAATAAAAATATAATATTAACACTAATATAGGATCATTTTATGTATTCTGATCATATATTTATTACTCATTGATCATCATACACGACATAGCTTGTTCCCAGGGTCAGATTGCATGCCTCCCACATGAAAAAAATTAATGTCAATAAATTTATCTGAATCTTTCAAAAAATTATTGGAGCAACTGTGAAAAGATAAAAGGTCACAAAGGTTATGGAGCTCTCTGGTCTGAATTAAATCATTGATGACTAATCTCTACTGGAGATGACCAGCAATTAAGGGAATGGGTAAAATACTTGAGAATAGAAGAAGTATTTCAAAATACCACTCAATCTAAAGAAATGAGGGGAGAGATAAAATAAATGGATTGACAGGTCTTTACAATATTATCTCTTAAATGCATATTATATGACGTTTAAAAGCATCCAAATAATATAAACTTAACTTTAAAAAAAAATAAATCTTTCATTAATGATTATTCAGTGATAATTTTATTGAATATTTACATAAAGAAACAGATAAAAATGAATCTTTGAAACTAATGCAACCTATATTTTGCTTATATTCTCTGTGAACGGAATGCAATTTCATTAAGTGCATAACATGAAATCATCAATAAGGTAAAATAAAATAATTATTTCCCAATAACATTTTTTGATCTATGGATTTTTTAATGAGAAAAATTGTATGAGATAAGTATTACTATAATAGAAACATTTCAGAAACCATTTCATGTAATATTTACAATGTTTAATACTTGTGTCTCAGAGCTAAATGTATAAAACCTTTAAAATTCATAAAATAAAATCATTTCAGTAAAAGTATGATCAATAAAATAAAGCGAGCTAATAAAAATTGCACAGATATGATCTCAAGTAAGTACAATTGTACATTGGCTTGGGGATTAAGGTATACCAGAATGGAGCATGTCAACTCTAGTTTAATTAATGGTTAACACAGTTAACAATGTAAATAACCTAACCAGAAATTGTGATATTACTGGAAATAAAAATAAAATGAAATATAAAGAATCAATATTAATTTAATACTTCAGGCATGGAGTAGCTGAAGTGGTTGATAATTGATTATCCAAATTGAGATTTTCTGCACCATCTTTTATTTTTGTTGTTTTATATAAAAATTGTGGTAATAAAAGTCATGATGTTCCATATGTAATTTATTATTACATCTACATAGTACAGGGTGTCCAATTCAAATCAGCTTAAATGCTTCTCACATCCAAACTGATAACTGATGAAAAGTTGAAACTATAGAAGTAGTCCTACAACCTCTTCCTCTGCCACTTTTCATCAATTATCACTTTGGATGTGAGAAGCATTTCAGCTGATTTAAATTGGACAATCTGTATTATATATATTTAATAATAAATTACATATTTATTGCATGAAACAAAGAGATTCGACTAGACAAAGGTTTAAATATACCCGATTTCCCGAAGACTATGCCAACTTCAAGCTCCTTCCAAACAGTGCACAATCCTTAACACACCTTACCAAATCCCATTACTTCCAAAAATCCAATATCCAGCAGTCCAAACTGCAAAGCCAAGTAGGCAATCCTCTGGAAATTGTTCTTAGGTAATCCCGCCTAAACCCAATCTATCTCTATTTCAGCCAACTTACTCATTACTCACTTTGTCTCCCTTTCCTCTCATTCCTCTTTCCAAGCACCAGCTCTATCCCCCATTCATCGCTTCTTTAACCCTAATATTTTTTTTCTTTTTCCATACTACCCCTGATGACCTCCTTAAATCCATTTGTAAATCACACACCAATGATTTAACATCCCAGTTAAATTGATTAAATCCTCACTTCCATCCATCATCCCTATCCTTTACCATATTTATAACTTTTCACTGCAAACTTATACTTTCTCCAGTACCTGGAAAACTGCTCTTGTTCGTTCACTGAATAAAACCTCTAATCCCAAAACCCCTAATGATTTCTGCCCAATTCCCCTATTATCTAACCTTTATAACGATTAGTTCAATCCCAGTTATCCCACTATCTCGATCAAAATAACCTTCTGAACTGCCACCAATCCGGTTTTAGACCCGACTAGTCTACCCATTCCAATCTCAAAAGATCTCCACACAGCTAGAGATAAACAGAAACTCACCATCCTTATTCTTCTTGATTTTTCCAAAGGATTTGACTCAGTTGACCATAATATAGTCCTAACCAAACTTAAAAATATTTCCCTGTCATCTAGTGCCCTCAATTAGTTAGGTTGTTTACATTGTTAACCATTAATTAAATTAGAGTTGACATGTTCCATCCTGGTATACCTTAATTCCCAAGCCAATGTACAATTGTACTTGCTTGAGGTCATATCTATGCAATCTTGATTAGCTCAGTTCTAGCCTTTAACTTTAACAAGATACGCGCAACTAAGGTACAGCAAGAACTCAAGGTTTACTAATGATACTTTTTATTTTAATACTCTAATTTAAAGTCACTCAGAAACTTGGTTATGGGTAAGGAAGAAGCTGTCAGCAGATGGACAGAATATTTCAAGATATTAAATAAGGATCATGCCATTGATGACAGTGGGCCATTGGAAGCTGACCTTGACAGGATCCTAAACCCACAACTGGGGGAACCGGATGAGGATGAAATCCTGCCAGACTGGGAGAAAATCATGGAGATCATGAGCAATCTACAGATGCATAAAGCTCCTGAGATAGATGGGGTTGAAGCAGAGCTGCTGAAATATTGTGGGAACAAAGTATGGGATCAGCTCTACCAACTCATATATGATATCTGGTCAGAAGAAGAGATCCCCGAGGACTGCAAAGTAGTTGTCATCTGTCTCATATACAGGGTGTCCCGCAAGCAGAGGGAAATATTTAAAAAGTTGATATTACACATCAAGATCTCCAAAAAATTCATATAAACAATTGCCCAATTTCAAGCAGAAAAGTAGGAAATTTAAGATTTGTGTTTTTTTTATGCGAGTCACGTTTTTTGTTGAATAGTAAGCGATAACTAAAAGAATATTTAATCTATATAATTAAAAACTGCACCGTAGCAAACTAGACAAAATTAACTTCAAATGAAAGTAGAGTTGTTCATTGTTAAAACTTAAAGAGGACTATTGAATGGACAAACTCAGCTAAGTTACATTTAAAAAAAAGTCATAAATTATTTATTTTTATCTCCCTTCAACTATAATAGTTCCCCCATTTTTAGAAAATCTGGTTTATAAGAGAAAATTTTGTGATCCATCCCAAATTGAATAAATTAAAATAAATAATTGAATGATGTGATTTCATATCCAGTTACCTAAAACTACCCGTGTTTCCAGCAAAAATTAACTGTTGCAAAGATTTTATTTTCCATTGTAACATGGGATGTATTGTAATAAAAATAATTGCCTGAAAACACATTTTATTTAAAAAAATAAAAAATTTAACCATAACAATATTTAATATAAATTACTTATGAACTGTGTTTTTTGCCCAGATCTCTGTCATAGGAATTGATCTGTATTTATCAGTGATAAACTTAATATTTCTTATAAAATAAAATAAAAGAAGCTTCAATTATTTTCATGGAAATGTAAATATTAGGGCTAGAAACATTAAGTTCTACTTTCCTTTGAAGTAAATTTTGTCTATTTTGCCGAGGAACAGTTGTTAATTATATAAATTAAATATTATTTTAGTTTTGCTTCCTATTCAACAAAAAACGTGACTCGCATAAAAAACACAAATATTAAATTTCCTTCTTTTCTGTTGGAAACTGGGCAATTGTTAATATGAACTTTGTTGTAGATCTAGATGTCTACTATCAACATTTTAAATATTTCCCTCTACTTACAAGACACCCTGAATAAGAAAGGCGACAAGCTCGGCTGTTTTAACTGCAGAGGGATTTCCAAGTGAGACCTACAAGATATTGTCTATTATTATGTTAACTGGAAACTTGCTGCTGACATCCAAAGAGAAGTCTGGGAGTAACAATGCGGCTTTAGGCAAGGAATGTTACTTGAACACGCAAAAGAAAAAACAAAGCACATAAACAGCAATATATTCTTTAATAAACAATATTATTTTTATCAGCACAAACCACAATTCAAGTTTTTTATCAATATAACAATTTTTTTCAATTATATCATATGTGATTAATGTGAGATCTCACTGCAGTCTCATAGATTATTCAAACTGTTTCCAATATTCTCCCATCTTTGAGTGTCCCACTCTAACACCATCGCTCAGTATTTTTTCACCACCGTCGTAGGTCCTTCTAAAACATCCATAGTGACACTATGGCCCTTTGCTAATTTCACTAGTTCTTTCTACTGGCATCTCTTATCCAGCCATTTCAAGACGGTATAATTTTTCATAGGTCTAAAAAGGAGGCCCATTATCTTCAGACTGTTGTAGTCTGATCAGTACCTTCCACCATCTCTTTTGAACTAATTTGGTGGTCGCACATCTGTGATATGGGAGATCTGCTGGATTCTGCTCTTTTCATAAAAACCAATCGAGATTCTCTTGTACCAATCCAGATCCAGATCCAATTGTACCAATTTGGATATAAACTTGTCTCCGGCGCCTAAAGTTCTGGTGGTGAAACTATTTTGTGCAGAGGAGGCTTGCATCAATTTTCCCAAAACCAACCAAGTCTAGTTCCAATAGAAACTAGGTCTCCTAAAGATTTAACCGCTCCAGTCAACAGCTTACCAGCCACATCAGCACCAATCAGCAACAGTATTTCTTTAGGATCATCTGTGTCTTCTGCAATCTGAATATCATGTTCTTTGAAAATGCTTCTAGTTTCTTTTGTAATTAACACCTCCACCGCATCACAAATAGTTAGTTGATTAAGAGCTCCAAAGTTACACCTGAAGGAATCATTCAAACTGCACAGATAAATACGAAGAACATTATGCTTTTGTGGCTTCATTTCTGGACCACCTAAAAGTCTATGAACCATAGCTTCTTCTCTCAGTGTTGCCAAATTCAATTTGTCTGCAAGTCCCTCTGAATTGTATGATTTCTGTGAAGCTGTATCAATCAAGCATCTGATTACAGTTTCCCCTGCTCCATGTTCCAATTTTTCGAGAAAAATTCCTTGTAAAACCTGCACTCTTGAATGATTTGATGGATCCATGGAAACTGAAACCTTCACCGCTACCTTCTTATGGCCTTCTGCAGAGGCTGTGTTTTTTTACTTTATTTATTCCACTTTTACATCTACATTTCGGCTAGTAAGCCATCTTTTACATATTTATCACTTAAATTGATAAAAGTTCTAACTACATCATTATGTAATCCACTAATGGTGCTTAAGTCTTCTTTAAATGACTTCCAACTCTCCCCAATCCTTGGCCCATTTAGCCTCTGATTTGAACATGACCAATCAGAGGCTAAATTAACATTAAGCTAAATTAAATAAACGTGGACTGTAGAGCCGAGGAAGAAGAAGAATTTGAAATCACTAAAAAGTTATGAAAGAACACAAAAAAATATTTTAAAATTGAAGGGATTATACTATTTTAGAATATTGTATTCTGAACTTCATTATTATTTTTCTGGAACATGATACATTGGAATCTTGGAAAAATGATACATCACATTTATGTAATTATTTTATCGCCTTTATATAAAAAATATTGCAAGCCCTGTAAGTATAGTATTTTTAATACATACATATATATATATTTTTTTTTTTTTTTTTTTTTTTGTGAGTATTTGAAAGTAGGTGTTATCAGCAAACTTTGAGTTTGGCGAATATCAAAGTTAAAAATCAATAGCGGTTATTGAAACAGTAGAATTATGCTTAGAACTTTTCCTCTGATACTTTTTGTAAATTGTATTGTCTGTTTAAAGATATTGTATATTTATAGCTCTGTTTTTACTTTATATTTATTTAAATATTTTTTAAAATAATAATTTATTTTGAGTACTGAATGTTTGATCGTAATGTAATCTTTTTCAGTACTAGAATGAACCACCCATAACATTTTGTCACTCTTTTAATTTTCTTCAAACAACTTTTACTTCCATTATTTTATTTTTTTTTTTTTACCCATTCCATTTCTTTTAATCTTTCCTTAAGAGTCGTCGGATTATATTCATAATCGCCTGTATTATTATGAAAATCGAAGTATTTTCACAGACCAAACACTCTCCTGGAATCACCATATTGCTTACATCTCCTGACGGTCAATTGGTACCTTAAAACTATTCCATCGCTTCCGCCATCTCCTACCCATTTCCACACATGGAATCCTAGTATCATCCCTAATCTTCCCTCACCTTAATCTTGGCGGAACTCGGGGACAGAATGAAATGAATTATGAATGCCATCGTAAGATTTGTCACTGAGAACCAGAGACGTTCCCGTATTTCTTTCCACTATGCTGAGTTAGGATGGCTCTTCCCCTCCTTCCAAAGACAATATTTCCTAGGCACATTCTTTTACCAAATAATCAATAATCATCGTCCATCCTACTCATACAATCTCCTACAATTCAAGTCATCAATCCACACCTTCTCTACAAGATCTCGTACTTCTGACCTTTACATCCCTTTCCACAGATCTGCATCATTTAAACATTATTTTGTTATCTGTTCCACTGCATTCTGGAATTCCATTTCACTAAAAATCCGCCATGCACCATCCTTATTCACATTTAAAACCCTCTTATTCCAATTCTTCTTCACAATTCAATCAGACGCTGGCTAAGTATTTATTACGTAACAAGGTTTTAATTTTCTTTGTTTTTTCTTCTGTTTTGAGTATGAAACAGAATTTCCATCATCTTTCACTAAGCATTGTGAGTAGGGATAATTTTTTTTGGTTATCTTAACATCTACTTTTCCTATTCATAAGATGGTATTTCTTTGAAATATATTTTATTTTATTCAAAAGTATTTTAGTTTTTACTTATCTTCCACATACACCTCTCTATGTGTGTTTATACATCTTTTTTTTTCTCCTCGTAATCTATCGCTTCATGGGTAGATCACAATACTTGTCTAGTTTTTCACAATATCTTAATGTGTATTCACATAAACTTCTTAAGGAACAGATGTAAATCATTTATTAACTCAAGTTATTATTTTTTAATTTTATCACTACAATGGTTTGCTTATAAAATTTATATAGCTTTCCTTTCTAATTTCATTTAGTTATTTGTATGTTTTAGTTGTTTGCACCAATATTGTCGTATTGTAACCCTAGTACAAATCTGCTTTGTTAATATATTTTCAAAGCAATGTATGTACTTATTTTATTACTTATATTTTAGGTATTCTTTATTGTAATTGGTCTTCTGGCCAGATTTATTGTTTATTGATATGAACAATGTTGTTATTCCTAAGGAACCTAGCCCCAAAATAAAGATGATTTTCTATTCTATTCTATTATCCATACTCCTTACTATATTCAATTTTTCCTATCTACAATTATTGTTACCAGTTTTATTTACGTTTATAGGTTTATTTAAGTATATTTCATTTACTGTTCATATTGTTTAGTGTTCCTAATATTTTTTTGAACTTTCTATTCTCACTGTTTATAATTAGATAAACATCATCTAACTCCCACAATTTTCTATACCCTTTTGTATCTTGTTCATTCTAGCCCCAAAGAAGTCGAAATGTCTTAAAATAAAATAGTTTTCATAATTTTAAGATTTTTTTATGACTGCCACCCCTGACCACCTCCTTCCTCAATAATTTATTCTTTTTTTCTTATTTGCAATGGATTTTCATATTTATGTAAAATTTTAATAAATGGTGTTAATGTCATAGAACCATTGTGTTCATTTGTTATGGTGACAGATCTATCTTAATAATTACTGTTAAAAGTTTATTAAATAATGTATTTAAGAATAAAATGAGTGAGTCACTAAAAAAGATTGAAGCAAGCACAAGCAAACTAAAGAAAAATGTTTAAGATAATAAGGAATGGAAATATATGAAGAATTTATGGTTATTACAACTTTCTTTTAAATGTATTTTTTCTACCGTTAAGCGAAAATATATTATTTTGCTTGGATTTTAGCTATTTCCATCCTATATTTAGTAAAAGCTGTTAAACACCAAAAATAATCAAGTTTGAATTGATTATTTCATCAAAATTATATAAAACAAGATATACCAGGAAGTAACATTATTGTTTGTGGGATTTTCAACTTCTCTCTTCCGTTATACAAAAAAATATTAATTGTAAGGCACCATTTTGTCATGAAAATTACAGGTACTTTTTTTTTCATCAAATCAAACACAAGGTAAGACTGACTTCGCTGACAGTCTCTATTTTCAATATTCTTTATTATTATTATTCAATACTCTTTGTGATAATTATTCATTATTCATTATTATTCACGTTCTTCAAAAGGTGAATTAATGTTCAATTATATCTCATAACTTTTCTTAAATAATATATTTTTATTACTATACTTTTATATTAATATTATAATATCAATTTTATTATCATATTAAAGTCTGATTTTGTAATAAATAAAAATGATTGTATGACAACAAAAAATCCTCATTTCTTTATAAATCTTTGTAATTCCGACAAAAATAATGTGTAAAAATTAGAAAAAAAAAAAAAAAAAAAAAAAGAGAAGACTAAAAATCAAACATAAATCCTTTTTTTTTTTTTTTAATATTACTTTGACTAATGAAATTTAGAACCAGTTTACACAAATTTACTCCAACAATAACAAAAAAATAACTAACTTATCAAATCTGATATAGTTATTTGCAATTATTCTTGGAATTTAAAAAAATTATAACTTAATCAAATCTGCAGCTCGCATAGGTGATGCGAAAGATCTCTATGACATCACAAGGACACTGTCAAAGAAAGGCTTCCGTAGGACCTGCTCAATAAAAAGCCAGAGTGGCATTCCTCTAACCACCTAAGCAGAACAGCTGAGGCATTGGGAAGAACATTTTTCATAAGTGATATACCGAGAAGGCATAGAAGCAGAGGAACCAAATTTTTTGTTTGCCGGATTCTGTATCCCCCTTTCAGTAGCAAAAATCACTGAGGCCTTCAGTAATTAAAAATGGCAAATCCCCAGGAATCTATGGCATTCCCGCTGACAATCCTAAAGGTCGATGGATAAGCCTAGACAAATATAACTGAACCATTTTTCAGGAAAATATGGGAAGAAGAGAAAGCACACTCAGAGTGGAAGAATCAGCTCATTGTACAAATTCCAAAGAAAGGTGACATTTCTAAATGCCCGAAATGGCACTGCTTCCTGTACTGAGTAAGGTTCAAAACAGGGTGATCCTGAAGAGGATCAAACAATCAGTGGAACAATGTTGAAGGAAGGAACAAGTAGGTTTTAGAGAACACCTTAGCTGTACCGATCCTGAACAATATAAAGCTTATACAAAAGATGTACAATTATATTTAAATGCATATAATAGTATGTAGTAGATTATGTAACTTTAAGGAACTTTCTATTTGTTAAAGTTTGTAACTTTAGTCTTATTTATGTTTATTTTAATTATGTATATACTACTATAAAAAATAATTATGTTTTTAATCTAGTACAGTTTTATGTTATTTTGGTATGTTATAGTTAATGTACATAATATATATATATATATATATATATATATATATACATTCGTATGGAATGAAGTAAAAATAAACGTTACTTTCAAAGGGTTACTTTGAAAGGAAAAATAGTATATATATAAAGTTAAGGACCGGAGTAACAGCTGTTAGGTTTAATATCAGCTGTTAGGTGAAAGCAGTTGTTAAATGTATATATATTGAGAAGCAACGAGAAGAATATATCAGTGTTTATACTACAGTCTTGCGTGTTATTTTAGTTCTCTCTCTCACTCTCCCTCTCTCTCTTTTTTATTTCTGTTCTTTAACATAAACATAAGTTAAATATATATATATTTATATAACCTGACACAAACCACAATCCGACGAGCCAAATCTACCTATTTACATGAAGCCCTTTCCTCAGCTCCTGATTCCAAATCCAAATGGCTACTCCTCCGTAAACTCTCTCTTTGTG